GGCATCAAAAAGTATTGAGCCATTCCTGCAGACCAACCTGTATTTCTGCATCAAGCAGGATTTAAAAGCAAGAAAACAAGAAATAAAGAGCACCCAAGCAGATGCTAAGACAAAGCCTATTGTTTTATTAAAAGGACTAAATATATAGCCCACTGCGCTGATGAGAAGCCAAAACAGGAAAAGAAAGAAAAGTGTAATCAGAGATTTAGTCTTTGTGTAAGAACAACAGTCAAAGATGAATGACTTGACTATTTCAATTAGAGAAAAGATGTCAGTAACTTTTCTAAAGGGTTGGAAACTTTGAGTGGACTTTTTAAGAAAAAAGGAAGGGAATGACGACACTATGAAACAAAATTTGAAAAAAAAATCTGTTCCTGGTTTGAAAGTGTCACTTCCTGTTTAATTGTGTGGTACTTAAATTGGAGCCCCCGATGGCACAGCAGGGTTAAACTACTGAAGTGCTGAACTTGCTGATCAAAAGGTCAGCAGTTCAAATCTGAGGAGTGGGGTGAGCTCCCACTGTTAGTCTCAGCTTCTGTCAACTGAACAGTTCGAAAACACGCAAATGTGAGTAGATCAATAGTTACTGCTCCTGTAGGAAGCTAATGGCACTCCCTGCAATCATGCTGGCCACATGACCTTGGAGGTGTCTCCGGACAACGCCACCTCTTTAGCTTAGAAATGGAGATGAGCACCACCACCCAGAATCGGACACGACTAGACTTAATGTCAAAGGGAAACCTTTACCTTTATCTCATTTACTTATTTACTTTTAAAGTAGTTGTTATACTCCAGAAATTTCATTTTTGTGGCTGAGGGTAGTATTATGATTTCCTTTAGTCTAGGGTACTTTGTAATTTTCCTTAATGAAAATATGCCATTTTTAATCTGAATGTGCAGACGAAAACTTTCCCATGTTTTTATGATACAACCAATTAGGTAAATGACATTTATAACCCAGGAACAAAAATTGTGTTACATCGTGTTACTGAGCTTGGATATGTGTGAATTTTCTAGGAGAAGAAACCTAACTATTTAGGTCAAGAGACAGAAGGTTCAGAATTACTATGTAAGTTTGGGAAAGAGAGTTGAAAGTGGTTGTTTTTAGGTATGCAGCATAGCTTGGGTGTGTTTTTCTTGATTGTGTCTTAAGTGTATGTAGAATGTTTATAATAATAATATTTTAGCGTGTGTGTCAGGAGCGACTTGAGAAACTGCAAGTCATTCCTGGTGTGAGAGAATTGGCTGTCTGCAAAGACATTGCCCAGGGGAGCTGACAGACGGGAGCTCATCCTGCTCCCTGGATTTGAACCAGCAACCTTTTAGTCAGCAGTCCTCACAGCACAAGGGTTTAATTCATTGTGCCACCGGGGGCTCCAATAAATAATAATATTTATTTATTATTTATACACTTTTTCCTATCTCACCCAGGGTTTTAACGTTTTAACATTTTATCCTGTGCATTTGGCCCGCCATTTGTGTTTGATTTTATTATGTTATTTTGCACCATTTATTTTACTTTGTTACTCTTTTTATTTTGTTGTGATGTAATTTGTCTATTGTTTTGTGTCTAACTTTGCTGTATTATTTTTGGTATTGGCCTCATGTTAGCCGACCCAAGTCCCCTTTGGGGAAATGGTGGTGGGGTATAAATAAAGATTATTATTATTATTATTATTATTATTATTATTATTATTATTATCACCATTGATGTTGCAATGCCAGATGATACCAGGATTGAAGAGAAACAGCTGGAAAATCTGACTCTTGTGGGAGTGAATTTCACACGTCACTTATGAGCTTAGCACTTCCGTTTTATCCATTCTGGATCTCCGACAACTCAGTTTCAGTAGATGATCCTGAAAATGGGTCTTGTATTGTGAGAGATGCAACATTTCTGTCATATCACACTTACTTTCATATAGTAAATGGACATTAACATAGAGATATTAGCTATGATACCAAGACTCTATGGTGAGCCATTATGTTATGTTTCGCTTCACTTTATGCCAATTTTTGTTAATTTTTTACTTACCATTTTCATTCATGTTTTCCCCAGATGAGAGAACTTCTTTCAGAATCTTCCCTTGTTTTTCTTCTGCTTATGCTAATAGCTGCTTTGAGTCTCCTTTGGGGAGATAAAGCAGAGTAATAATAGTAATAATAATAATAATAATAATAATAATACAGGATTGACGAGAAGTAACTGGAAAAGCTTTTAATGTTAGCTGCTTTGAGTCTCCTGGTGGAGAGAAAAAGTGGAATATAAATAAACATCATAATAATCATAATAATAATAATAATAATAACAATAATTTAAAGATTGAACTGCAAAGAGTCTGGCACAAGCCAGTCAAGGTGTTCCCAGTGGTGATTGGCACACTGGGTGCCGTGCCTAAAGACCTTGGCCTGCACTTAACACAATCAGCGCTGACAAAATTATCATCTGTCAGTTGCAAAAGGCTACCTTACTAGGATCTGCACATGCATTATTTGCTGATACATGACACAGTCCTAGACACTTGGGAAGTGTCCGACTTGTGATCCAATACAACATCTAGCAGAGTGATCTTGTTTGCTGTGGACTCATCTTCTTGTGTTTTAAATAATAATAAATAATAATAATAATAATAATAATAACTACTACTACTTTATGTTTGTACCAGGAGAGTGATCTTGTTTGCTGTGTGCTATTTATTTATTATTTATTTATTTACTTTGCTTATATACCGCTGTATCTCAAGCCCGAAGGCGACTCACAGCGGTTCACAAACAGTAAAAACAGTAGAAACAGCAGTGGTTCCATACAACATATAACAACACATTATCCATAAATTATCAATAAGCAATTACAATGCACAATTATTACAAATCTTGTTGTGTTTCTAATAATAATAATAATAATAATAACAACAACAATACTTGGGAAGTGTCCGACGTGTGATCCAATACAACAGCCAGCAGAGTGATCTTGTCTGTGGACTCATCTTGTTGTGTTTCAAATAATAATGATGATGATGATAATAATAATAATAATACCCTGAAGGCCGAAAGCAAATGACAGACAGGGGAGGCCCTCACAGCTGGCAAGGGCGGGGAGGAGTCAAGCGGCGGCCTGGCCTGGCCTGGCCTGGCCCGTCTCGCGGCCTCTCCGTGCCCGCACGCGCTGCTTTCCACTCCCCGCGTGGGCGCCGTGGGGAGGGGGGGAGGGAGGGCGAGGCGAGCGGGACCGGGCGTCCCTCGGGCGCCTCAGGGCCACGCTGCACCTGTGGCGGCGTCTGAGGCGCCTCCTCCGCTTGTGCCCCGCGCCTGAGTTGGCGCGCGCGGAATTGGCCGAGTGGCCGGCAAGAAGCAGCAGCAGCAGCAGCGGCGGCGAAGGGGGGGGGGAGAAGAGGGAGGGCGAGCGGGAAGGCGGCGGCTGCCTCTGTTGCTGCCTCTGCGACTGGCGGCGTCAGCGAGCGAGGAGGCTGCTGCGGCGGATGCGTGGGGCGCCCCCGGGGCATGGGCTCTCCTCGGGGGCGGAGGAGGAGGAAGAGGAGAAGGCGCCCCTTGGAGACCGCGCCTTGAGGGGCCTCTGCCTGCCCTTTTCCCAGGCCAGCGGCCGGGCTGCCCCTCGAGTCCGGAGAGAGGCCGGGAAGGAGTGAAGGAAAGAAAGAGAGAGAGAGAGAGCACCTCGCCACCTCCTCCTCCTCCTCCTCCTCCTCCTCCTCCTCTTCTCCTGCTTCTCCTCAGGAGCTTCGCCACAGCCTCCTGCGCCGGACAAGGAAGAGGCGGGGGGGGGGGGGGGGAGAGAGGGAGAGACTGAGAGAGAGAGAGAGAGAGAGGCAGTCGCCTCGCCTCTTCCTCCTCCTCGGCTTTCTTCGGGCAGCCGGAACCGCGCGCGCGAGGAGGGGCGGCGGCGGCGGCGGCGGCGGCGAGCGCGAGCCCCGAGCGGAGGGATGTGGGGCTTTGGGGGAGGAAGGCTCTTCGGCATCTTCTCCGCTCCCGTCCTGGTGGCCGTGGTCTGTTGCGCCCAAAGGTAGGAGCGGCGGAGCGGGAGGGCAAGGAAGGAAGGAGGGAGGAAAGGAGGGAGGGGAGGGGAGGAGGGCGCCCGGCCGCCTCTCGCGGAGGAGCCCAACTGACCCACGCTTTCTCGGCCCCTTTTCCTCGACCCCCGCCTCGGCCCTTGCCCCTTCTTCTTCTCCTCCTCCTCCTCCCTCTTCCTCGCCCTTCCCCATTTCTTTTCCCCTGGCGACCCCTTCCTGACCCCTTTCTCCCTCTCTCTCGCATCCTCTTTCCCCTCCCCACCCTTTTCTCTCACGCTCCCTATTTCCCTCACCCTCTCCTTGCCTCCCTCTCTCCCCCTCCCTCTTCACACCTCACGACCCCTTTCTGACTTCTCTATCCCCATTTCTGCCCCCCCTCTCATTTTCTCTCATTCGTTACCCCTCACGACCCTCTCCCGACTTCTCTACGCCCCATTTCTGCCCCCTCTCTCCTTTTCTCTTTTTTACCTCTTATGATCCTTTTCTGACTTCTCTACCCCCCCATTTCTGCCCCCTTCTCTCCCCCTTTCTCTTTCTCTTTACCCCCCTTTTCCTGCTTTCTCTATTCCCATTTCTGCCCCTCTCTCGCCTTTTTTCTCTCTTTTTACCCCTCGCAAACTCTTTCTGACTTCTCTATCCCCCCTTTTCTGCCTTCCTCTCCCCTTTTCTCTCTTTACCCCACACGACCCTTTTCTGACTTCACTACCCCCATTTCTGCGACTCTCTCCTTTTCTCTTTCTTTACCCCTCACGACATCTTTCTGACTTCTCTACCCCAATTTCTGCCCCTCTCTCATCTTTCCCGTCTCTCTTTATCCCCTCATGGCCCCTTTCTGACTTCTCCATTCCCTTTTCTGTCCCCCCCCCCTCTCTTTTTACCCCTAACAACCCTTTCCCGACTTCTGTTCTTTCTCTCCACCCATTTCTCCCTTCCTTTTCTCCTTCCTCCCTCCCTTTTCTTTTTCTCCCCCCACAGTGTGAACGATCCTGGAAACATGTCCTTCGTGAAAGAAACTGTGGACAAATTGTTGAAAGGCTACGACATTCGCCTCAGACCCGATTTCGGAGGTGAGTGGTCTTGGGCAAAGCTTGCCTAGTTTGTCTGGTTGTCTTGTGTGGGTGTTGTATTTGGGGTGGGGTGTCTGTTGTGTCCTAGCCACAAAGTGGCAAGTAATGAATCTCTTGTGCTTCTTTAGGCCCCCCAGTCAATGTGGGGATGAACATCGACATTGCCAGTATAGACATGGTGTCTGAAGTCAACATGGTGAGTAGGTCTCTGGTGACTTGGGTGTGAAATGGATTGTGGTATTGTTATCTTTCATTTAAGTTGTTTTTCAATGCTTCTATATTTATAGTTATTGGAAAGATTGGCTTCACGTGCAGTGGGGACCTGAGCATGTTCAGTGACTAAGAAAAGAGGCCCTTGTTCGGCAGGACAGTTGCTGCTGAAGGACTCTTTAGTAGTGGCAACAGTCCAACAGCCTCTCAAAGTTCCTGCATGCAGCTTTTTGTTTTTCCTTCTCAAAGTGACACAGTTATGTATTGTACCTCCCCAAAGGTGATTTATGGTGGTGCATTTCTCTGCTGGGCAAGGACCTTTTGTCGATTGGAGGAGTTTAATGCAGCAAAAGCAGGCAGAATGGCTGCCATGGGTGTGCCATATGCAGTTAGGACAACTTGGAGCTTGCTGAAGCATCCTGAAGGGAATAGAGCCAGATTCTGGTGTGCTGTCTCAGGTGCTGAAAGGAAACTTCTGTTGCTCAGCTACATCTGCTCTTGTTGCTGCTTGTTGGGCTTGCAGATGTCGCCCTAATCAGAATTTTAAAACTGTACTGCTTTTATTGTGTGTGAAAGAGCAACCTCTCAATTGTGATCGGGCTGTACTTTAAAAGCCATCTCGTTTGTTACTACTGCAAAGTATGAGGAAATAATACAGTAAGAAAAGTTTGCCCTTACTCAAAGGCCTGGCCACATATGGCTGTGTTGTTTTAAGTGAACTTTATTTTAATCCCCTCATGTATGTGAGGACTAGCTAGACTGTGTGATTTTAATGTTTATATTGATTTTTTAAATTCTGTGGTTTAATGTTAAATGATATTGTGTTTTATGATTTAATTGGTAATAGTATGTTATTATTGTTATGTTAGGTTTCTGTATGTGAATCATTGATTTTTGCCATAATTATGTTGGAAACTGCATTGAGTCCCCCCACTGGGGGGAGAAAAGCAGTATACAAGTAAAGAAAATAATAATAGCTGTGTAAACCTATACAAAAGCAAGGGCCAATTTGTTCAGTCTGATGTACTAGATAAAGGAGGATAGGATGGAAATAATGTAAAGAAAAAAATTCTTAGACACGGGTACAAACATGCACCCACATCCCATACATTCTGAAAAATAAATGGAATGGAGGAAATTGAGCAATTTTAAGATTATTCAGTCTTTTGCATAGCTGGATAAAATATTTTATGGCATTTCATTTTGTTATGTTTTATTAAGTGCAGAACGTGTTAGGTATATTTTATCTAATGGATCACTGTATTTTTAATATACAGTAATAATAACATATACTTCAACCCGTGTGATTACTATATTTCATACTTTGCATCAATGCAGTAATGATTAAGAGTAAAATATATTTTATTGTTTGCTTGTTTCATAATACCTCCTTACAAAGTATATTTTTGTGCAGAAAAAAATGATTTTACAATTTTAGTGTAGGAACTGTTAATTGAGTAGCTGAAGACCTTAACTTTTTTTTATTTAACTTCATACCTCTCTACATTATTTTGAGTCCCACATTTATTAAGTTTAGAAGGAAGCATTCTTTAGTGATGCATGCTTGTCTGAAAGGGACAAGGAGGCACAAATATTTATTTGCTAGTAGCAGATATGATACTGTCTTGTTTTTCAAAATGATGTTGAGCATATAACTTAATGTGTCCTGTAAAATAACCATTTCTTCTCTCATCCATGATGGTTTTCTGTTTTAACATTCCTATCCCCACACTGTGATCCTATGTATTTGAAAATAAAGACCTTTCTTTGCATGTGATTGAAAAGTTCAGGGAGCAGGAAACAAATCAATGATACTTCCTTGTCATCCTGCTTATTGTTACATCTGAACCAACTCCATATTCCATTATTTGTAAAGGATATTATTTTCTAGTAAGTCTGTGTAGAACTATGTTGTCGAACTACATTGTAGGATCTAGACAACTAGATGTACATTATATGTTTCTTACATATAGATGGTTAGTTGGTTACTGTTCTCTCACTTGAGGAAATCCTAGTGTATCTTTCCAAAATATTTTGCAAATAACTGTTGTCCCCTCCCTTTGATAAGTCAGGTTGATTTTCTGAAATATCTAGCTGCAAATGAATTTAAAAGAGAAAAATGAATGTGTTAACAATCTTTAACAATACAATACATACTGAAAACAAATGTTTTGTCTCTGTAATTATAGTTAAGTTAGTGCAAAACTACTTGTCTTTGAAGACAGAGGGCCCCAACTGTTCCCCACCCCATGATTGGGGGAGGGGGGATTTTAAGCAAGACCATTACAACATAGATGGATATTATTACCCTCCAAAGTTTTCACCTGCAATATCTTTTTGCCCACAAGTAAGGTCAATTCTCCTGCTGTAGCTAGGGAATATATAATTAAATATCAGATATATAATTAAATACTAAGTGTTGGGTAAAATTAAAGGCTGTAGGAAAAGAGGAAGGCTGCATTACGGGTGGGTAGGGTCACTCAAGGAAACAGTAGCCCTGAGTCTTCAAAACCTGAGCAGGGCTGTTGATGACAAAGTATCTTGGAATTTTCCTGTGCATAGGGTGTCCTGCTCATAATACCTCAATGCATTTACTCCAAATTGACAGCAATTAACACCAAACAACAGGGATTCTAAATCCTAACTTGTTCCACCTTTATGCAAAAACCAAGAAACAAGAGGAGGAAATTTCTTTGACATAATATAGGGAAGATTTTGTTCTGTTTTGCCTTGTTTTGAGTTGATAGAACTGGCTACAATTATTTATGTATTGCCAACTTCTGGATTCGATTGTAACAATGTATTCTAATTCTCTTTAAAAAGTAGTTTGTTCCTTTATTTAATCCCAAATGCTGCAGACTGACTGTTTGTCTGAGGCTGGAAAGACGAAGTTCCATTGTATTGGTTCTGTATACATTTGTACGTTCATTTCAAGGTGCTCATGATTTCCTTTAAAATACTAACATGCTTGGAACACAAGCCCTTGAAGATTTTTTTTTGGTCTGTAATTTCACTTCTTTTCTCTGTAATCAGATTGAGAGGTTCTTTCCTGGTTTTCCTGTTGGCTGAAGTCTGACACAGTGGACTTCTCAGTGAAACAGGCATAAGTTTCCGGTACTAATTCAAGGTGCAGGTTATTACTTACAATGCTCTAAACGGTTCGGGTCCAGCCTATCTTTGCGATCACGTCTTCCCCTATGAACCTGCGTGAGCTCTAAGATCTTCTGGGGAGGCCCTTCTCTCACTCCCATCTCATTCTCAAGCGTGGTTTGTGGGGACGAAGGAGAGGGCCTTCTCGGTGATGCCTCCCCTGGCTCTGGAACTCTCTCTCCAGGAAAACGAAATTAGTGCCCACCTTCCGTAAAGACCTAAAAACGTGGATTTTCCAATGTGCTTTTGATTAATCAGTTCATTAGATAATTTTGGCCCCTCTAGTCATAACTTAGCTCTGCCATTATGTTAGATTATTAGTTGTTGTTGGTTATGTTTTTATGATATTTTGTAGTTGTAATTTTACTGTGTTATATTTTAATCTCTGTTTGATCAGGCTTGTCCCCATGTAAGCCACCCCGAGTCCTTTCGGGGAGATGGTGGCAGGATACAAAAATATTTTTTGTTCTTGTTGTTATTGTTATTATTATTATATTATTATTATTATCATTTCTTTTGGGGAGCTTGGGAGTATACAAACCAGATCATAATTTTTCATATGCATAAGTTGCTTCGGGTATCTGGGCATGGGCAATCTTTAGCCCTCCAGGTGTTTTTGGACTTCAACTCCCAGAAATTTCAGTCATCTTACCAGCTTTTAGGAATTGTGGGAGTTGAAGTTCAAAAAAATCTGAAGGGCTGAAGTTTGCCCATGCCTAGTATAGACACTGTTGTTGCACCTACTTTATACTCAAGTATAAGTCTAGAAAATTTAGTCAAAAAATCAATCTGAAAATACTGGGTTGACTTATCCACTGGTCAATGTAAATATTGTACCTTGACTTGTTGGTGAATAGTTTGGTGAAAGGCAAGAGATTAGTATGGCCTGGGATAACTCAAAAGAAGCAGCAACCCCATCTACACTCTCCATTACAGTACCACTTCTATTATTTTTAAATGTTTGGGCAGGAAAATGAGAGTAGCTTCCTGAGGTGGAGCTGGCACTTTCCTTTCTCCATGGAATGACCCTCAATTTATACATGGGTCATAGCAAAATCCTTAATTTTGGCTCCAATTTTGGTTACACTTATATACATGAGATCAACTTATATGCAAATATTTTTGTTATATGTAGTTAGCTAAGTTATTGCAATTCAGACCACTAGTTAGTGCTAGTTACACCACTGCTGAAAACGCCCCCTTGAGTCCCCTGGATCTTAATAACTACAGGCCAGTGTCCGTTCTTCCTTTTTGGGGGCAAGGTGATTGAAAAGGCAGTTGCTCTCCAACTCCAGGTAGTCTTGGATGACACACACTTCCTCGACTCATTTCATATCAGTTTCAGAGCAGGATATAGAGTTGAGACTGCTATGGTCACCTTAGTGGATGATCATCTCAACACTGACAGAGGGAGTATGTCCCTGTTGCTGCTTTTGGATCTCTCCGTGACTTTTGATTCCGTCAACCACTGGAATGCCTGGGAGTTTGGAAATAGGAGGAATTGTTGCACTGGTTCCAGTCATATTTTCAGGCAGGTTCCAGATGGTGGAACTTGGGGATAGTTGCTTCTCAAAAAAGGAGCTGTTATATGGCATCCCATTTGACGCAATTCTTTCTCAAATGATTTTAAGCATTACATGAAACCACTGAAAGAGAGCATCCAGAAATAAGGGGTGGAGTGCTATCAGTACACTTGTGACACCCAAATATATTTCTCCATGCCTTCAAAAACCATCTTAGCTAAGAATAGCATGTCTCCTCTGAATGAATGCGTCTAGGAGGTAATGGGCTGAATGAAGAAAAACAAATTGGAACTGAATCCAAACAAGATGGGGG